AAAAAAAAAAAAAAAAAAAAAAAAAAAAAAAAAAAAAAAAAAAAAAAAAAGAATATGAGTGTGAGTTTATATAAAACAGCCCATAGAGGGATTGCTTTTGAGCAAGGTTAAACTCCAGAAAATGTGGGAGAGATGAAGTTTAAAGCCAGCTTAAAGAAAAGGCAATAGGGAGCAGGGATACTAGAAAGAGCTGGGGGCAGTTATCTACATACTTCTACCTTTTTAAAAAAATTTTTTTAGGGGCCGGCCCGGTGGCGCACTGGATAGTGCGCCGCTTGGGAAGCCGGCGGCGCTCCCGCTGAGGGTTAGGATCCCATGTGGAGACCGGTTCCCGCTCACTGGCTGAGCGCGGTGCGGGCGCGACAAGGAAGTGAGTGCAGACAGAGAAAAGAAGGACCAAGCCCTGGGTCATTCCAGTGTTTAGAGGTCTGGGAGATGAGGAGAAACCAGTGCAGGGACCTAACAGAGCAATATCCTCAAGGCCAAGTAAAGGAAAAGGTTCATACCATGATCAAGTGGGATTTACTCCAGGAACACAAGGATGGGTTAGCATACAGAAACCAGTCAGCGTAATGTACCATATTAATAGATTAAAGACAAAAACCACATGATAATCTCAAAAGACACAGAAAAAGCACTTGACAAAATCCATCACTACAGGGGCCAGCCCGTGGCTCACTTGGGAGAGTGTGGTACTGACAACACCAAGTCAAGGGTTAAGATCTCCTTACCGGTCATCTATTTAAAAAAAAAAAAATCCATCTCTACAGATCCATAAATGGAAACCTCTGCAGATATTACAAGAATGTAGCAGATCTTCATGTGCTGAGATGAAAAGATCTTTAGGATATACTGTTGAGTGGAAAATCAAGTTGTAGAACAGAATACTTGTATATTGTATGATTTCATTTATGCTTTTAAAAATTCGGAGAAAGAAAATACAGGAATAAATAAACATAAAAGGATAGTAAATAATGGATTGCCTAATAGTGAGCTAAACACCAATTTTTAAAAAAGGGAGTAAATGTTCTTCATAAAGTCACAGTTTAACCAATACTGTAACATACACTAGTATGTAGGGATAATTTCAATATTATCAACAGTAGCGTACTTACAACAGCAATGGGATCATTGCTCCGGGTGGCCACAAGGCTGAAATATTTCACATGTGTGTTAGTTTCCAAAGCCTTTGCAAAATCTTTTAGGGTTGGAATTGGGATATTCTTGAAAGACAATAATGTGAAACATCATTACATTTTGGTTTGCAGGAAATTCGGTCCATTAATCGCATATATATGTACTTACTTTTTCGCTTTAAAATCTACTCAGAAATTATGTAAACATACAACTAGTCTATAAATGAAAACAAATAACACAGCCTCCTCCACATCTATCTGACTTACCTGTTACGGTGCACCTGCACAACTGCTGACTCAGAGAACACTACACATATCACCATCATTTCTCTAGCACTTAGGTTAAAGAAACTCTCACTATTCTACTTTGAACTATTCCTATTTTATGAAGCCAACCCCTGATTTATCAAAGTGGACCCACTTTTCTACAAGGAGAGAGATGTGGGAGTCTACCTCTAATAAGTATAATTTCTGAGGTAGATGACATACTGTTCTCAGTCACTCAGTTCAGGCTATAAGATATTAAGAGAGATTAACACTACACTACATGAAGGAAGAAAAACAGTTATAGAAGGCACTAATTTCTCCCTTTAGTACTCCCAAGACTTCAATTTCCTATAGCCTGGTTATTTTCAGATCATTACTGTTTATTCAGAGATAATAATACACAGAAACTGAATTTTTAAAAAATCAAGAAAGGTAATGATCACCTAAGGTTATTACCCTCCCCCAAGGCTTTCTCTCCTCTATTCACAGGAAGAAATACCCACTAAAGGAGCACAGAGGTCTTCTTCCCTAGGTTCATTAATTCACAGATACTCTCCTCCCCTCGCCCCCCCATTCAGAGAAATTGAGATTTAAAATAAGGAATTTCTAATGAAGCTATTATACAATGGCCAATACCCAAGAGATAATCTGAGTTTACTCTTTGGTAGTTAATTACCCCAGTGCCCTCTGAACTCATTTCTTCTTTCCTTACTCCAAGAAAGAGTTGCATTGCTTAAAACCCAGTAAGTTCCCAGAAAGCCCATTCCTAAGTGTTTACTCAAGAGAAATGAAAACATATGTTCACACAAAAACCTGTATGTGAATTTGTATAATGGCTTCATTAATAATCATCCCAAACTGGAAGGAACCCAAATGTCTTCAACTGATAAATGGATGAAGAAACTGCAGCACATCCATACAATGGAACGCTGCTTGGCAATACAAAGCAACAGGCTACTGATACATGCAACAATGTGCATGAATCTCAAATGCATTTCGCTAAGTGAAAGAAGCCTGACTGAAAAGGGGACACACTACATGATTCCATTTATATGACATTCTGAAGAAGGCAAAATGATAGGGAAAGAAAACAGATCAGTAGTTGTCAAGGGTAGAGCTGGGGGGGCAGAGAATGACTACAAAGGAGTATTAGAGAACTTCTGGGGTGACATACATGTTCTACATCTTGACTGTGGTGGTGGATATACAACTGTATGCATTTGTCAAAACTCACAGAACTGTACACTAAAAGGGTGAATATTACTATATATAAATTATACCTCCAGAAACCTGATTAAAAAAAGCAAAATCCAAAAGGCAATATGTATTTTGAAAACCAGAGAGATTTACTCAAGACAGTCTGTAGGATTTACATTTTTATATGCTAAACCCCTTAGAAAGTAAATTAGAAAATACTATACTATAATACTTTAATTTCTAAAATATGAAGAAACCTATCTTAGCATACTGTTAGGAGCAAAAACTTTACCTTAAAGTAGAAAGAATAAGACTACTATATCAAAACTGGCCAACTCTCATCCTAGATCCAATCAATTCAAAGCAATAAGAAACAATTTTATTGTCTGCTTAGCATACTTACCTTTATATTATTCAAATTAACTTCAATAAGACGAGCATCATTTTCTTTAATTCTCTTTAAACTCTCTTCAACGTTGGTTGGATTTGGTGGCTCATCAAATACTGGAATAATCTTTTCACCTTTTACCACATCTGTAGTAACAAAGCAAAAGAGCAAGAGTCTCAATGGTCGATACTATTACAGTGGATGCATATATGATATTATATATGTATATGCATACATATTATATATATATTTACTTGGTAACACACTTCTCTCTCTCTCACACACACACATTAATTCAACAGAATGAATTTAAAGTTCCTTCTCCACAATTCCTAACAGATCCTTCCTGTGTTGACATATTTAAAGCACCCAAATAAAATCTTATTAAATATAAACACCAAACACATTCTATTAGCCTTCAAAAGTGAATGTTGTTTCAAACTAGGTCGCTTCTCCTTAAAAAGAAAAAAAGAATATTTTCACTGCCTCTTGGTGTATTACAAGATATCTTTACCATTTAAATACATTTGATAGCACAAGCTGATGATTCCGCTTTTAGCAATATTTAAAATAAAGTTCTAGCATGATAAAATCTAGCATCTCTTATCATTTTCTTTGTTATTTTACTGGTAATTGGTATAAAGGCAAAAAGAATCATAGACAAAGAAATATAGCCTCAATGAGAAGAGTAAGGTGATGGAGGGGCATTTTACCTCTTACCATGGGGAGTATTATGCAATAGGAAAAGGGGGAGGACTCTCTAGGAAGAAGGAACAGGTAGGAACAGGGAGTGGGGAAGGAGAGCAAAGGTACACAGAAGAGCTACTGAGACAGAAATTTCAAAACTTACTGCCCTTCTTCACTCCCAACCCCCAGTCCTTCACCTTACATACCCACACACATGACTACAATTCAACTCTTCAAAGTGAAAGACAGAGGACCCAGAATCTTTGAACCCTTTAATGAGAGATAAGTGTGCTCCAGTGCATACGTGTGGAGGTTTGTGAACACCTCTAACAGGCCAACTTTTATGGATATATTTTCTGGGGAGAATCCCTACGGCATCAGATCCTCAAAGAGGTGAATGACCACAAAAAAGTAAGAGCAACTGACATGGAAAGACTGGCGGGGTTCAAAATGGGTCAGTCTGGCTTGGTTCTTCCCTTCTGCCCTCCTCTAGCTTTGAGGAGCAAAATTCACCTTGAGACAAGGTACACTGCTTACTCATCCAATAACTTCCACCTAAGAGTATCTCATTCTTTTCGAGTATGCCCCCCTATGCACACACACGCACACACACTCATACACAGCATCCAGAGATCAACTTAGACAAAGGTTTGAAAATTATTTTCCTGCAGACAGTTGAAAAAACTGAATACATTTAGCCCAGAGAAGTATATATTAAAAGAAGGTATGCTAGTTGTTTTCAGATTTATCCTGTAGGAGAAGAGACAAATTTCATGTTGTTCTGAAAGGCTGTGTTAGAACAGGTACAGATTGACAAGAGGCAGAATTTGGTTCAATACAGAGAAAAGCTTCTAATATTTCTGCTAAACAGGAATAAGTGGGCTCCCTCCCACTTAAGTTCAGCAAGGCAGTCTTCGAGATAGCAGCTCAAGGGAGATGGAAGATGGGAAAGAGCTTCCTCGCTGAGTGGAAATTGAATGAGTTCATAATGTTATAAAACCAAAAGATTTCTTTCCCTACTCCACAGAATGTATGTATTTAAATTTAAAGAGCCTTGCCCCTTAAGCCAATCACTGGGATACTGAAATCATTAGGTAAAAGGTACATGGGAAACTTTAAAGAGGATGGATCAGGTTGCCAACATCTGAACCCCCTGATCAATCTTAGCACATCGCCTGAAGAGGAAAAAATTGACTTCATAAGCTTCCTAATGTGATTCAATCACCACCTCTGAAGCATCCTTGCCAAAAAACCCTGCACCTTAATCTGATCAAGCTGCTAGAACCAACAGTTTACAGAAACATAAGAGATAGAAAAACATAAAATGACTCAATGAGGTTGCAATCAGCCAAATCCAGAATGTGGAAAATTCTACAAGACAAATAATCCAGTATCTTCAAGAAATAAATGGCGTGGGCCGGCCCCATGGCTCACTCGGGAGAGTGCGGCGCTGGTAGCGCCAAGGCCGTGGGTTCAGATCCTATATAGGGATGGCTGGTGCGCTCACTGGCTGAGTGTGGTGCGGATGACACCGAGCCAAGGGTTGCGATCCCCTTGATGGTAAAAAAAAAAAAAAAAAAAAAGAAGGTGTGAAAAAGAGGGAAAGAGGTTGAGAAATTAATAATGACCCAAAAGACAACCAAACACAACACATAATTTTTATTTGGGTCCTTATTTGAATCAACTATGAAATGACGCTTTTGATAAACTAAGGGAAATCTAGTCATAGACTGGGTATTAGATGATATGAAGGAATTATTGTTAGCTTTTAACTTTGATAATGGCATTGTGGTTATGTTATAAAAGACTTTATTTGTCAGAGATGTATACAGAAATATTTATGGGTGAAATAATACAAATGAGCAGGATTTTCCTTAAAATATTTCAGCAAAAAAGTATAGGGGTGGGTAGGGAAGGAGGCAGAAGATGGATAAAACAAGGCTGTCAAAATGTTAAAAACAGCTGAAGCTGGGTGACAGATATCTTATTCTCTCTTCTTTTATGTGTATTTGAACATTTCTACGATAAAATGTTAAAAATGAGGGGGACTGGCCAAATTATAGAATATCATAAAATGGAATGTTATGCACATGTCTGAAGAGCTAGATCTATATGTACTAACTAGGAAACATGATCCATTTCTAGGTAATATACTATATAGGATGATGGGTTAAAATCCTTACCACTGACTTTGCGTAACATTGAGGCTAGTTACTAAATCACTCTAAAATCTCAGCTCCCTCACATACAAATTAAAGAACATAATAATAATAATAATAATACCTATTTCATAGAATTGTTGTGAGGATTAAATGAGAATAATCCGCATTCGGGAGCTGTGCACCATGAAGAACATGGTCCATTCAAAGAAATTAGCCAATAGTATTATTGAAAAATTAACTGTCAAGAAACATTTATAGTATGATCCCATTTTTGTAACAAACAAAAGACTATTTATATATAACATGTATACATAAATACATTTATGTAAACATAGAACAAAGTCTAGATAACAGTACAGTGGTGAGGGGGGGAGTAGAGGGTATGATGACTGTGAATGGAGACACTTTCACTTCTTACCATGTACACTTATGTGTTGTTTAAAAGTGCTATGAAAGCATGTATTGCCTTGGGAACTTAAAAATAACCCTGTAAGTGATTTTTTTAAAAAAGCTTTGGTTAGGCTATAATACTTCACATCAGACTGAAATGTTTAGGGACTGAATACTTTTGTGGTTTCTACTGAATCTGATTTTATAATGTAGTTTCTTTGTGAGCACTGTTGTGGATTTCTTGAAAATCAATAACACTGATAATAACATGTCAACAAAAAACAAGTCTGGCTAGCTTTTATACTGTTTACCATTAGTATAATTCAGTGAGGTGAGAATGGTTCTTATTACATTTGCTGACACACAAAATAAGCATAAAATATTTAATATTGTTTTCAGTGGCTTACTATATCAGTAGCATAAAACTGAAATTTCAGGTTTCAAGTACATATATACAATGTTTGGGATATAAATACTAAAATTGATACATGAAGAGAACAAAATATATTTAATAAAGAGTTAGTATTCACAAAGCATTTTAAGTACTCACTTGAAAAATGTTCTTGGTCGACACCATTACTACTTCCCACCATATTACAGAATTGTGTATTTGTTATCAAATTGTGCATCCCAAGAATAGCTATAAATACAGAAAGGAAGTTAGTTTTTATTTCCATCTATTTGAAACATAAAAAATTAATTTTACAACCAAAAATTTCTATCAATAATTTAAAAATTCTCCAGACATTTTCCTACTAAATTAAATACAGATTTTGTAGCCAAAAAAGGAAAAAAATATAGACAAAGTGATTAAAAATCATCTACAATCTCATTCTCATTAATACCCTTGGTATTTCCCCCCACATTTCTGAATTTAGATTTCCAAAATACCAAATTTCTTCACATAGTTGGAGCCAGCCTAACCTTAATGGTAGATCTATGCTTAGCTCCATCTGGTGGCTAAGAGAGAAAATTGAAATGATCTATTTTTGCTGTTCATGGGTCTCACAAGATTTCTAGGAACATAATGTAACAAAAGGCAGATTTTCAACTTAACCTTCACTATTTTTACATTTGTTAGTCTCATATCATTTATTCACATCTGCATTCTAAAAGTATGAATAAGTTCTCATATTTAAGAAAAAAGTGGCATCCCTCATAAATGACACTTGGGAGGGAAAATAAATTTGGTTTGGGTTTTTGATGCCCTGTGCACATGTAAGGCAGAAGTTACAGTATGCCCCTGGCCCATTCCACTCCAATGACTGTACCATTGGCAAATCCATCAGTCCTCAGTCCCTCAAGGAACAAGCCACTTGCTCTGGCTGTGGCCCACACCTTGATGCATCCCTTTCCAAGTTCCTTCCCAAAGAACCATTACCACTACTTTCAAACAAGTTAGTTTTCAGGGTCATTTGGTACGAAGATCTCCCAATGTATCACATATTTCTATCTAGGAAAATGGGTGTGTGTGTGGGTAGGTGGGGGAGATACTGGTCCAGATAAGAAGTTGGGAATGATGAAAATAACAGGGAGGTTTGGAGTGTTCCATATACACTTCAGAAAAGTTGAGCAAGTGGTGAGCGTGGCTAAAGAGTGACTGTTCCATCTGCTTTCCAGTTACCCATCTCTGGGTCTTCTGATAAAATTGGGCAGCAGTTGACCCTGAAGACTCTTTTCCAGTACTCGGGTGGGATAGCTTGTAGCCAAGCACCAGCTGATTAACGATTTTTTAGAAAGACTTTCAAACGTGGCAACAAGGGAAAAGATGTCACATAAAACAATAAATTCTATTTATATAAAAATTTTACCATTGAGGGCTGGCTAGTTAGCTCACTTGGTTAGAGCCAGTGCTGATAACGCCAAGCACCAGAGTCAAGGGTTCAGATCCCTGTACTGGCCAGCCATCCCCTCCCCGACAAAAAAAAAAGAAAAAAAATTTTTACCATGAGAGTATTTTTTTTTTTTTTGGTGGCTGGCCGGCATGGGGATCCGAACCCATGACCTTGGTGTTACAAGGCTGAACTCTAACCAACTGAGCTAACTGGCCAGCCCCAATCATGAGAGTATTTAAAGAAATGAAATCCTTTACGTCAGATTTAGCATGTAAAATACAAAGACAAATATGTGGTTACTGACTGAACCGCACTTTGCTAGGCAAAGCAAGCATTTGTATAATGTACACAGAGATATATGCTAGTATTCCCCTCCTCACCCCACACTCATTCATTCATTAATTTGTTTTAGAAGATACCTGCGAGGTCACACAGTTCTGTATCAGAAGCACCTGTCAAAGCTTCTTCTAATTCTGGATCAAGAGATACTTTTTCTTCTGTAAAAGTCTGTACAGGTTTCTGTTTGGGGATGAATATTTTCCCTGTAAAATAAAGCACTTTGTTAATTCCACTACTACTGCTACTAATTCATTACCATTTTAACGTTCTAACAAACACTGAAGCTGAAGGAAGAGTCAAAATTAACATCTGCAGTAATTCTGTTTCATCTTCAATAAGGACTTAAAAGTTTCCAGGGTAATACTTTGGCTGTACAAGTTGGAAAGAAAAGATTGATCAACTGAGAAATTTTCCCATCTGTGGAAATAAAAATAGGCTCTTTTTGGAGTAATTATGAGTTACTTTACAAATACTGAAACAATAGATAAATGAAAGAAGGAATAAACCAAAAAACCCTGTAAGACTTTAGATAAGATTTTAAAAAGCCCAGAATCCAACTTCTTATTCTTATGCAGCAAACTGTTACAGTCACTTGGGGAACAGCAGAAGCAATTATGATTCCAGAAATTCAGGTTCTAATTACAAAGAAATTTCTGTATGTCCTGAGTGGTATTTTGAAACTTTTGGTCATTGTTCCTCTAAGGCTCAATGAACACTAACAAGGTTGTCTGTTAAGAAACTAGTTACTCTAGAAACCTAATGTCTTTATTATGTGAAAATCAGTATGTTTATTAACATATGTTCAATGCAAAATTGTGAATAAGGGAATGGAAAATGATGGTATAACTGTAGCACCAGCTGCCCAAGCAAGATGCCTTCATGCAAGGTGGGAGTTGGGTTACAAAGGTTGCCTCTGGTTTCTCTCCCAAGACAGTTGAAAATTCTAACTCTTATTATCTGGAAAGGCATACTACATATGGATTTAAAGTGCCAATTATTTTCTTTTCTTTTTAGAAACTACCAGGGAAATGTGTGAGACTATGTGGCCTTATGAGTCTATGAAGTGCTCTATCAAAGGAAATGTTTGTGGGCTCATAATCCGTGCAGTGAGTGTTGTGTACTTCATGTTCAAGGTAAGCATCATTCAGTGTAACCATACGGAATCCTTCCACAATATAGACTGCTCACACGAACTTGACCAAGGCTGATCAGGTATTTTCTGCTAAGCCCATCTAAAGGATCTTAATTTCTGATATTATATTTTTTGTTTTTAGTATTTCCATTTGGTTCTTTTAAAAAAAAAATTGTTTCCAAGTCTCTGCTGAAATTCCCCATCTCTTCCCACATGCTGTGCACCTTTTTCACAAGATTCTTTGGCATTTTAATCATAGTTATTTTAAAGTCCCTGACTGCTAACACCAACATCTGGATCACCTTGGGGTCTTCTACTGACTGTTTATGTTCTTGACTATGGGTCACATATTCTCGCTGCCATGTGTCTTAAGATCTTTGTGCACTGAACATTTTGTATGAAAACACAGCAGAGACTAAAGGAAATGATATTTATTCCCAGAAAGGAGCACACCCCTTAGGTCAGAGCTGAATCAATGTGCTCTACAGTTGAGCTGGAACTGGGCCTTGTTGCAACTTTAGTTTGAATGAATTGCTCATTGACTATGAACATTTTAAGGACAAGATCGGAGTTTCCCTTCGGTAAGGCCTGGGATTAGAACCCTGGTGAGATTCTGGGCATCTGCTGAGCTGCCTATTTTTCTGAATTGTGAAGTAAGAGAGATTTCTTCCTGACATATAGCCCTGGCTGCTAGCCTTAAAGGTAACCGGGGAGCTCTCTCTGTTCTCCAGCTCACCCCCTGCTTTCTCTGCCTTGGAAGGTCTTTCAGACCCATTGTTGTCTGCTCTATACTCTGTGAAGGTAGGGATGGCCTGGAAAGGACTTCTCCCAGCTCTGATGCCCTTCCTTCAGTCTCCCCCAGATGAAATCCCATGGCTTGGGGATTTTCTCTCAGCTCTGCTTCATTGCCTCTGTTCTTGGAGTACACTTCCTAGCACTAAATGAAGACCTGCAGAAAGGAATTGAGGGCTGCTTCAGTCTCACTCTAAGGCTGCACTGTCCAATATGGTAGCCACTAGCCACATATAATTATTTAAATTTAAATTAATTAAAATAAAAAAATTCAGTTCCTTAGTCCCACTAGCCACATTTCAAGTGCTCAACAGACACACATCTGGCTAGTAGCTGCTGTCTTGGTTAGCACGGATACTGAACATTTCCATCATTGCAGAAAGTGCTAGTAGACAGCACTGATTTAGGGCTTTTCTGGATTCTAATCTATCATGCCAGTTCATACAGTTATTAAAAGTTTGTTAAAAGTTAGGCTGATTTCTCCTTACTCCCCACTATGGTGGTTTCCTCCTTCTCCCTACATTTCAGTAAGGGATGAGAGCATGAGTGGATCATCTCTTAGATGAAGGGCTTTGTATGTTTGTGTGCTCATGCTCTGATAGATTTAAAGAAACTATGATTATGTAGCTTATTCTGATTGTTTTGGTTGTTACATGAAAACCACAGTCTGAATCAGAAGACTTTTTGGTCTGGTCTTTTCTTATTTAAAAAGTGGCACTTGGTCAATCCACAATGTATTTTTATCAGTAAGGATGTTTTTCACTGCACATAACAGAGTATCCAATTAAAACTGGTTTAAACTGGTGCTTCTCAAGCTTTAATGTACCCCTCAATCACCTTGGGATTTTATTAAAGTGCAGATTCTGATGCAGAAGGTTTGAAGTGGGGTCTGAGATTCTGCATTTCTAACTAACCTCCCAGATGATGCTGATCCACAGACCACTCTTAAAGCAGCAAGGGTTCAAACAATACAAATTTTTATTATTTCATTTGATAAGTCCATGGGAAGGTGATTTTAGGGTTGGTTCAGCAGTTCAGTGTCAACATCAAGGATCCAAACTCTTTCTACTTTTCTCTTTGGCCATTCTCAGCATGGAGGCTTTTCATAGTCTCAAGATGACCTTAGTAGCACCAAGTATCATGTCCCCACACGGTAAGTCAGGAAAGAAGAAAGGGTACTTTCTCCATTGTTGACTTTTATAAGGAAAACTGCCCAGCAGACTTCTCCTCTGGTCTTACTGACCAGCACTGGGTCACATGTCCATGCCCCAGCTGAAAGGATGGTTAGGAAAGCAAGCATTCTGTGAGTGGTTGCTGATTAGGCAACCACACTGTCTGTCCCAATACTGAAACCAAATGAAGTACATCTATGTTCCCTTAATTCCCTGAATATTTCATTAGAGCTGCATTTATACCTTCTGTGAGTGTGTCTGCCTTCTGTGAGCTTTTCAAGGCATGGCTGATGTTCTGTTTAACACTGCATCTTTGCCTAAAATACAGGAAGCAATCCAATTTGTTTAATAAATAATTTGGTGATCACCTCCAATCCAGTGGACTTATTTTATAAAGAATAATTTAAATACACTGTTTCCGGGCCGGCCTGGTGGCGCACTCGGTAGAGTGCGGTGCTTGGGAGCGTGGCGGCGCTCCCACCGAGGGTTCAGATCCCATATAGAGACTGGTCCGCTCACTTGAGCGCGGTGCGGGCGCGACACCAAGGGTTGTGATCCCGTTACCGGTTACGAAAAAAGACAAAAAGGAAAAATAAATAAATAAATACACTGGTTCCCCAATTAAAAAATGGGCAAAAGAGCTAAGTAGGCATTTCTCTAAGGAAGATATACAAATGGCCAACAGACATATGAAAAAATGCTCAACATCACTCAGCATCCGGGAAATGCAAATCAAAACCACACTGAGATACCATCTCACCCCAGTTAGGATGGCTAAAATCCAAAAGACTCTGAACAATAAATGCTGGCGAGGTGGTTGTGGAGAACAAGGAACTCTCATACATTGTTGGTGGGAATGCAAAATGGTGCAGCCTGTATGGAAAATAGTATGGAGATTCTTCAAACAATTG